GAACTTCATCAGTACAGCAGATAGACACATGACATTTAGGAGGAAGAACACATCTGGGTTCTGCTAGAACCTGACACCAGATCAGTTCTACATCCATCCAGGTGTCTCAGTCTGAACACTGGACCTGGTTTCTGTTTAATGACAACCAACAAATGTCCCAGCTTATCCAAACTGCCTATAATCTTTGTGAAATGACAAAAAACGGGCCCAGAATAACTTCTACATGATCAAAATGACCAAGGAATCGTCTAAAATGCCTAAAATGTGTTAAAATGTGTGAAACCTTTTCAGAAAGAACTCTAAACTTGACCAAAGTGATCAGAACCAGTCATGGATGATATGAAACTTGTTCTGAATGAGCTAGAAATGAACCTAAACTCATACAAACCTGTTTGAAATGAGTCAAAACCTGTCCTGAATCAGCTAAAAGCCGTCGATCAGCTGACACACTGGTCCGTTCTGGACACGATCAAGTAGCAGCGACGACTTGCTGCGTTTTTCTGATGATCGGTTATTTATAAGAATCAACGTTTTAACCCCTGATCTGCTGATAAAACACACTTCAGTACGTTAAAGTTACTGAGATGAGTCCAGTGCATCTATCTGATCGGTTCTGTTGATCAGCTCATTGATTAATCAGGCTACACTGATTTCTGAGACGACCGTCTGGATCAGTAGCTTTTTAAATCCTTCAGCTGTGATCTTTGGGCTCAACAAGACGTTTGATTAAACATTGATCCACATTTTCTGACAATTTTAAGACCAAACAGCTGCTTTATTGATCCAGAAAATGATCCAGTGATCACTGATCGCAGCCCCAAAAGCAGGAGGATGGATTTAAAACCAATCAGCTTAAAGATCGATGACCGGGCATCGTGTCAGTACAGGCGCTAAACATTTGCCGGTCTTGACATCCTCAGGGACTTTTTAGTTTTGAGGAAACTGAATTTGGTGGTTTTTAGGAGTTTTCAAAGTTGAATGAAGTCACAGTGGTCTGAAGTTCTCAGACTGCAGCTTCTTCAGTCTGATCGATTTCAGGAAAATTCACCAAATCTGAGCTGGAACTCCTTAAAGTCGCTTCATTCTACACGTCTTGCCAAAAACAAACCGTTTAATCAGATCCTGGAGGAAATAAAAGAAAGAATTCAGAAGATTGTGTTTTCTCCTGAGCTCCCGTAGCTCGTTAGTTTAGATTAGCTATCAATGAATAACTGTATTGATCATTAGTTTGTGTTTTAGTCTTTGTCTGCATCGAGAGCTGCAGCAGTTAGTCGATTAGTTGTCGGCCGCTGAAACAATCGATTGATCCTGTCATTCTTTGAACGAAGAAACAGTCCAGACTCTGCAGCTTCCTAAACGTGGATTGTTTCCTGGTTTCTTTCCTCCTCCGTGACTGAACGTCTTTGGACAAAACGAGACATCTGAAGAAACTCCAACATGTCTGAAGATTCTCAGTCCTCCAGGTCGTGGTTCTTCTGGTAGATTAGTCGTAGCAACTGCTTGAGTTCCTTGAAGACGTTCCACCTCTCATCCATCAGCTCTGACTGACTAGTTGGGAGTTCCACATACTGATATCCTGAAGGAGTCCTAACGAACCCCACTGTGTCAGGGGGAGCACTAACGACCCACATAATGAGGAGGAGGAGCATTAAACCTCCAATTGATACTCAGGTGTTAATGGCTCCTTCAGGAGAAAAAAAACAACAAAAAACGCCAAACTGTTTGTCGTAACTTAAGCAAACCTTCATTCATGTAGAGTCCAAATGTGAAGGAACATTTGAGGAACATTTCGAGAAAAAAAGAAAACCCGTTTGTTTCCATCCAGGACGCTGGAGTAACTGCAGATCCGGCTGAGTCTGTAGCAGAAACGGCGTCTGGGCTTTTGGTTGACACGCAAACGAAGCCACGAGTCACCAATCACATCTGAAAACTCCGTCTTTACGTTTGTGTGTAGACCAGATGAGGCGGAGTGTGACGTCATCAGCGTGCGACCATGTTTACAGTTGGGCTGCTGTGATAGAAAGTCAGTATTTGAAATATTTTCCTCGTTGTGTTCTCCAACATGTAGCTGCTCCATCAGTAAAGCTAGCCACCCTCGCCTGTTGTCGTTAAAGTAACAGAAAGTAGTCTGCGCCATTTGTTGTGGCTTTTTGAAAATTTCTGCCGGCGATCTGTCCTCTGACCAACAGGAGTAACTGCGGTGGTTTTCTTGTTTGTTCTTTCGCTGCTTATCCCAACATTAATGCATCAAACAATATCCTCTGGTTTGCTTCAACCTCGCTGATAAGTACCTCAATCTCAGTTTTATAAAAGTTCCTCTTTGTCCTTTTTGCCACGATGCTGACGACAGGTGAGGGAAAAATAAACCTTCACCTGCTTTATAAAGAGGCGTGTTGTTGCCGTATGTGGTGATGTGGAGGCGTTCCTGAAGGCAACGAGCACGGAGGTTAAGAACAAGTGGGATCTACCAACACTGATGTGATAAATACGGACTGTTTTGTACTTACGCTCTAAGTTTCATTCATACGACAGAATTTAGAACCTTTTCTACGCACTGATGATAAATGAGGCTCCTGGAATGTAATCTAAAGAAATGAATGTCTAAACTGCTTGAAAGTGTCAAAACACTGTCAAGTTCCTTAAAAACCTTTATTGAGGAGTGCCACAGGGAACCATGCTGGGTCCTCAGGAGATTCTTTATACCTGAGAGCTCTTTCCTCCTCTGTGACGGTAAACTGAAGGTCTCTGGACTAAACATTTTCATTTGCTGAACATTTTTCACTTTTTCATCGACCAAGTAGTTCATCCAGAAAGTGTTGTTCAGCTCCACAGTCTGAACGCAAGCAGCTCATCGCAGGTCGATTCGTAGACGCGTTTAAGTGAATGTTCGGGTTTCTGGCGAAGCGTAGCTCATCAGTTCCTAATTATTCAGCTTCCTGTTGTTTCGGAGCCTCAGACTGACACAAAGCTGCCGAGAGGGTTTTTAGCTGAATGTCTTCTTACCACAAAACACCAGATGTGCCTGTTTCTGGGTCAAACTGTTAGATTCTGGTCCACCTGGTGCACCTGTCCGGCTCACACCTGACTCTGTGTGTTCAGCAGGAGCACTGGTTCGAGAAGGCTCTGAGGGAGAAGAAAGGATTCGTCATCAAGAAGATGAAGGAGGACGGAGCGTGTCTGTTCAGAGCTGTCGGTGAGCGACACACACACACACACACACACACACACACGCACGCACCTACCTGGTCGGTCCTCAGGTGAGTCCCTGCAGTTTCTCTGGTCGCCAGCAGGAGTCAGCGTTTGGCTGCTGACGTTTGTTTCTCAGGTTGTGTCTCAAAATAAACGATATTTCTAATGATGTTTGTGAGATTTAAAGTTCATAATTCAAAGATTTGTTCTCACATTAACATCTGAAAAACTACTAAAGATAAAAACCTGAACTTTTCGCTGACATTTCTCATCTTGATTCAGAACCTGTCATATTCAGTCTTTAATATTCAGTAATCTGAGGTAGAGGGTGAGCTAATATAAAGAAAACAGCACATGAACAGAAGAACTGGGCGGTTTTTCTGAAGCTGCACGTCGCAATAATACAAAATGTACAGAATCAGTTCTAATGTGAAACATTAGAGGACCACGCTGTGTTTGTTAAACTATGAGAACAGGTTTCACAGGTTGTACCACAGAAACACCGGCAGACCGACTGATCCACGTGGAGCTCTGGAGTCAACATGGTTCTCCCTACAGAACCAACATATATGTTTTAATGTGGGCATGTTTTTTATTTCAGACTGAGGTGTAGTTGAACAGGGCTGCATGGTGGCTCGGTGGTTAGCACCGTTAGCAGCTAGCAGGTCGCCGGTTGGCATCCTGGACTCAAATCACAAAATTAGGGAAAAAAGCAGATTCATTCTTTTACATAAATTGTAAAAGCCTGGAATCACCAACACGTGAAAACACGGAGGCTCCACATGCTGCACATATGTACGTATTTACATTTTACATCGTGTCCGTGCTCATGTCCTCTCTGCTCCGTGGAAACACCGCCTGCACTTCAGCTGAAAACTCTGCTTTGTTGTCATGTGACTGCTGATCACAGCCGAGTCTGTCGTGGTTTTTAAGATGCACCGAGAAGCTCAGAATTGTTTTGTTTTTTAGAGAATCTCTTTAGTGTAAATGGGGCTGCAGGTGGCTCGGTGGTTATCACCGTTAGCAGCTAGAAGATCGCCGGTTGGCGTCGTTGGTGGTTAGACAGCCTCAGATTTTGCTGGAAGTGTCCACAGACGTCTCCAACACCGCCTGCAGCTCACCTGAAGAGTCTCAGCGTTGAGTTGCCGTAACTGTTCACCTCAGTCGGTCACGACGTCACGCCGAGGAGCTCGTAGTTATTTCGTTTTTTTTTACAAGTTCTGTTGACCTTAAACGATTTGCAAAGTTTTCAATGCAACATGTTGGAAGAAGTAAACTTTTTAGGAAAGATTGAGATTTTTCAGATTTAAGTTTGTTTTTCCAAACGAACATCACAGATGAGCAGTTTAAGGACATAGAGGCTGATAGAGCTGGTGTTAGACCTGCTGCAACATCTGGACACCAGCTGCTGTGAACACACCCTGACAGCAGGAGGCGCTGCAACGCTGCCTCTTCACCTGGCTGTGTGTGTGTGTGTGTGTGTGTGTGTGTGTGTGTGTGTGTGTGTGTGGTGGGAAGGTATGTGGAAATGTGGGTTACAGTGAAAGATGAGTGCTGGTGTGTTTTCCTCCAGGACACACAGAGTCCTTTCAGTCGAGTCCAGCTTCTGGTTCAGATAACAGCCTTTATGTCGCTGCAGTTATGTCATCGCACTGACCTGTCTGTCTGTGTGTGTGTGTGTGTGTGTGTGTGTGTTACTGTAAACTCACACCTGCCTTCCTCGTGTTATATAACAGATAATAACCTCCGTTTGTTCCCGAGGCTTCATGCTAACATCGATTCATTCACTCTCGACCGAAACTGTGGACGAGTTTCTGACCTTTTGTGTTTTCCACGCTGAGCAGCTCCACCTCGGCTCGTGTTGTTGGTCGAATGACTCGTAAACATGTCGACCATCGGCGTCCAGGCCGTGGAGCCGAATAAACGCTGCAGAATCCACAGTTCATCCGTCAGACGCCCGAACGTCTTCCATCATTGAACAGACTCGGTGAAGTCGTCGTCGCAGGTCGATGGTTTCAGACGAAGCGTTACCGTCATTTTAATATCGTCCAGAGAAAACCGAACACCGTCGAGAGCAGCAGTGGTTTTATTTATTTTTTGTGGCCAGGAATAATGGCTTTATATGTCAGCATTCCCCCTGCAAGCATCAGGAGAACACGCTAATCCCCGTTAGCATCAGCTAATCTGCTGCTGTGCTAGCTTCTGTTTCATCAGTGACTTTCATTAGGTGTTGTGTATCTGCACAGACATCTATAACAGACGACTGTACCACCAGACTTCACTGGAGATATTCCAGAGTCCAGACCGGACTGTAGGAACACATCTGACGCAGAGAGCTGCCACTAGCTCAGTCCGTGGAGGTGTGTGTTAGCATCACCGCTAACAGACGCAGTGAAGCAGCTTCGTAGACTTTATGAATCCCAGAGAGAGGTTCTGGTGTTACAGCAGCAAAGGGCTCAGCAAGCAAACAGACAACACAGAATATCAGGGTATGAAATGAAGTAAAGTAAAATAAAACAAGATAAAAATGTAGAAAATATAACATAGACAACGTGCACAGCAGCAGCAGATCAAACTGATCGATCAGCTCCTGATCAGGACGTCATGGGACAAACGGTTTGATCAGCAGCTCCTTCAGCCGCCTTCGTTTAAAACACTAATTAGCTCGTTTGTCCATTCGTCCCGCCTTCACGTCGTTTTGTGCAGAAGTTTTCTTCACGACGTCGACGGTTTGTGAACCAGCTCCTGAAGCCCGGTGAGCTGAGGTGGACTTGTTGTGAATGGAGTCTGGTGCAGCAGCTGTCTGAGCAGGTACAGCCGTCCTCAGGTGTGTTCACAGCCTCCCACTACAGGAGGAAACAACAGCTTCAGTCCCTGGAATACGCCGGCAAAGTAATGATAAATAAAAATGTGATGAACATCAGGACGCTGCTTTGAATTGTGGTTCAGCAGAAATCAAACCAGTCTGATGGGAGCCGTGAACTAACATGTAGCTGAACGACAAGTCCTAAAACGTAGAGTGTGGTAGAGTTCAGAATAACGAATAGAAACGTCGCCCCACACACCAGCGCTGGCGAAAAAATTGATGTTTTGAAGGACTTGGACATGTCACTGCCAAAACGGCTCCACAGCGCCCCCTTGCAAGTTTCAACGGCTCCCCTGGCCTAGTGCTACCAGATCTGGTAGGCACATGGAGCAGGTCGGGTCGAACGAAGAAGCCGACCAGCGCCAAGCTCTAAAATGCAACACGGCTCAGCTGCGCCCCCTACAGTATTTCAACTGAGTCCCATCGAGGCTACGTTTGACTTGGAGCTACAAATATCGGTACACATGTGTAGCAGCTCGGGACGCACACAAAAGTCCATCAGAGCGTTTCCATAAACCCAACAGGAAGTCCGCCATTTTGAAAAAATGGCGAGCATGCTCAACGATTTTTCGCTCATTTTTGGCCATTTTCAAAATCGGTCTCCTCCTCGGGGGAATGTCGTACACGGTCCAAACCAGAGCGCGTTGCCAGTACGCCGCCTCGGCTCGCCATTAGACAGGAAGTGGCGTATAACCAGGCCGCATGTGCTCCGATCTGGCCGAAACTCGACACGTCGGATCACAGTCCACCCGGAGCGCGTTTCTGCCGAACCCTGATGTGCATGAAGGCAGACAATCGTACGGCGAGGACCCGTCCATCGCCGGTTGCAGCTTTAATTAGATTTATTCTTTAAATCGCGTCCCACCACTAAGACGAGCATCAGGTCACGTCTCAAACGCTGAGTACTTGGAGTGAAGTCGGTGCTTAAGGCGTCTGCAGCAGCAGCACGAGGCCTGAAGCTGACGGTGGACAGAAAGCTGCTTCTGGTCTTCTGCTTCTATTTCGGTTCTAATTTCAGACGTCGGGTCGTTTCTTTTCTCAGCGAAGCGTTTCACAGAAATCAGCAGCTTCAACGTGTTTGTTTGTTTGTGAGCAGAGTTTAGTTTGATGTGTTCACACCTGCTGCCCGCTTTCTGTTTCAGGTGTGTGTGTGTGTGTGTGTGTGTGTGT